GTGTAGGTGCTTTGAGTGGTTTAGGTAGTGCTGCCATGAGTAAAGCCGTTGGTTCTGTCTCTGCCTTCAACGTGGAGATAATGTTTGCATTTGTAAAAAAACAAGGTAAAGGTCTATATCTCACCCCAGGTCAACTCCTTAACACCAATGGAGATGGGTTGTATTCAAAACATGGAGGTAAATACAAATGATAAAGAGGGTAGTGGATTGCATTTAGGTCCCAATAGTCCTTTGGATAACGTTCCTCTCCTAGGTTGGTTGTTATAAATAAATGGATGACGTAGACTCTAACAAGCAAACGTATCGAGAAGACAAAATTCGATCCGTTGAACACCTTCTAGAGGCAGAGATGCTTAAATACACCAAAATGCTAAAAACATACAATAAACTAGACAATGTGCTTTCTGTTGCATTAGGAACCTGTTCTATTCTAAGCGTTATTTGTACAACCAGTGCACTCAGTGCTGCTGCAACAGGAATCGGAGCCATTGCTTGCATTCCTTTAAGTTCACTAGCGGTCATTTATTCGTTTGGAACGATGGGGTATTATCCAAACGTATCAATAAAAAATGTTAAAAAAAATAAAGATACCGTACAAGTAATTAGAATCTCTAAATCTAAGATTGAAGATGCAGTTATTAAAGCTTTGGATGATGATGACTTTAGTGACCTTAGTTTACGAGTAGTGTTACATGCTTAGACTCTTACTACGACTACCTAAGAAAAACCCGCATGTAAATTAGTTACACACACCAATATTTTTTTTTAATCTAGTGTTTGCTAGATTAAAAATGAATTGGCATTAACTTAGGGGATGGACTGTTCGCTTGGTAACTAGGTGTCAATTACTTTCTAACCAGGTCGTATGAAAAATACTCTTGTTTAGTCGTTTTACTTATTTTAAAACCTGTACGTCTTACAAAGGCACCTTCCAAAGGTTCCTTCTCTTTGTTTACCCACTGCAAGCCCACACCCTTATCATTTTCCCTTCCCTATTTTTCAAGGTAAGTATACTACTCTTTCCAAACTTACCATCTACTTCAATCACCTCTAAAATTTGGTGAATTACTCCGGTGGGAAGGTCTTTCAATTTTGAGGTTTCTTCATATTCTTATTCTACCTTTGTGTCAAATATATTCAGATCAATGAAAGTAGCCATCGTATTCTTAATACTTAACATACACACGTCTTTATGGTGTTTTTTTTTTCAATTTTCATCGTCGCTATCACTGTAAAAGCCACTGTCGACGTCACTGTCCAAATCCAACAATTAAAACTCGCTATCGGTACTTCCACTGTCGACGTCACTGTCCCAATCACCGATCACCTCTTCTTCTAGTTGTTAAATCTCGAGAAATAATGCTTCGTTGGTGCTAATTGCCATGTTTACCTTGTATTCCAAGGTTTCTTCGATTGGTACTTGTACGTGGGTGTTGTAATAGCTTAGGAAACGGGTGTCAAAATCTTCAACACTTACGAAATCGTATGCAAGCCATGGTTATTAACCAAACACACTGTCTTCATACTATGTTTTTTTTTTATTTTTAACTTTGACCTGAAAACTTGTGTGGGCAGAACTCTCACTAGGGTTAGGGGTTTAGGGTTTAAAATAAAACTACCTCTTACTCCTATTCCATTTTACTACTTTCACTTTTACAACTTTTACTTTCAATCTCTCACTTTCCTACTTTCATTTAATCTACTTTCACTTTCAATCTCTTACTCTTATTAGGAATATCATCAAATCAACGTTATAGGTTCATTTTTGTTGTAGTGTGTTACACTGTGTTTTTGTAAAAAATCACCTTTTGATCTGAATTTCTGCAAGGTGGGGCAGAACTCTCAATTCTCTACTACTAACATGTAGAGCAGGATCTGCTTACACTTCCGGAGCACCCGAACATTCGGTTTTTGGTGGGGTTCGTGTTGCTCAGTCTTTATGTTTCTATGTATGTTTTGTTTTATGAACTTGTTTGTCTTTTTGTCGTCTTTCGCTTTTTGCTATGTTATTGTCATTTTCATTGTGTTGTGAGTTGTGAGTTGTGAATGTCCCCTTCTTATCTTCCGCATCTTTTTTTTGTATATTTTTTAGGAATGGGAACGTTAAAGCCGATAATCCGCGTACGTTGAGTGTCACGATCTCTGTGCGTTAAAAAACCCTTGCAACACCTTCTGACAGGTTCGTAGGTGGACAATATGCTGAAGAAAAGAAATTTATCAATCTTAATCCTGAGTGGTGTCATTTATTCATATTGATAATTCAAAACAAAATAAAAAGGAAAGGATAGTTTTTCAAAAAGTTAATTGTCTATCCAGACATCAGCCTCGGGCTGTTTCCTGCTCTTTTGTGGGGTTGTTGTCTCTATGGCACATTCCCCATTTCCATTCTCAATTCGATTAACTCATATTTAACCGAACGATCACAAAGACGATATAGTCTAACTAGAATCATCTTTAAGCATGTTTGCACGCATGCCCCTCTTTAGGTGAAATAACAACTAAATATTTGCGTCTGATGAGGACAGTATGGCTTGATATAGTTTGACCATTACAAAATATCTTTGTCATAGATATACTTCATTTATTGAATCACTGAATGCGCTTGATTTTAATGTGATGGGTCACATCTATGAATTGTTTTATTGACCTGTCAGTGTCTTGTCGTCTTTTTCTTTGACAATGTCTTTCTTTTGATAACGTCTTTCTTCTTTGACAATGTCTTAAGTGTGGAATAATCATCCAATAATAACATATCATATTTAAACATCACAGATTAAATGGATCTATCTATACTAGTGTAGTTAAAAATGCTGAAACAAATAGGCATTCACATTTTATTTGCATTATTTGAACTATTATTCCCTCTGACTTGAATATTATATCATAAAAATGACAAGACCTGGAACGTCTGACTTTGTGACTTTGTGACTTTGTCATAATCCATACTTCTGTTATCCCGTTACGTTTGCGCGAATTTTACCTGTTGAAAAGTCACTACGTTTGCTCGGATCAATTAAAAAAAATATTAAAAAGAAATCAATGACTATTTATAAACAAAAATTATGATTTCAAAACTAAACAAATTTATTTTTAACCTAAAAAAAAACCCCAAAAAAAATTAATTTCAACTTTTTTATTGGCAATCTTACATATACATGGTAATGATTGACCTGTATTCACCTACTGTCCACCCACATAATTATAAAGACTTCTCTAATATATATTTATTAATATAAGAAATAAGAAGATGTAGTATGATTGCCAATTTATGTTCAAAACAATAAACGAAAAACAAATATTAAAGACAACAACCAACGAAATAACTCATTTTTCTAAAAAAATATGTAAAATTCAGGTTATTCTCGGGATTAAACTACGGGTAAATTCGAGCAAACGTAATGCCATTTCTTCACGCAAACGTAATGTCATTTCTTCACGCAAACGTAATGCCATTTCTTCACGCAAACGTAATGCCATTTCTTCGCGCAAACGTAATGTCATTTCTTCACGCAAACGTAATGCTTGTCATATTCAAATTCGCGCATATTTATGTCGTCCATAATGCAATTAGGCATGTAACCCCAATTTTGGTTGAATGACATATTCCATCAATTCCCCGGTTGACAGTCGTAGCCATTGAAACCGAAACCTAGATTAAAACCGATGAAATCACCACCGAAACCGAAATCAGTTATAGTTACAGACACTTCAGACTTAGCTAGTGAATCTTCACCAGAGGATGAATATTATTTTGTACCTGTTATGACAACAGATAGTGCTCCAACAAGTACTGAGGATACTGTTGCATTACAGGAAGTGGAAATTGAACAGGATACAACAGAATCAGTTGGGGATTCAATCTGATATTCAGGAAATCAGAGATGATTCTGAATTAGGAAGCGCTTCTGGAATTGATGAATCTAGTCATGAATTATTGAACGCAGATGAAACCGTTCAATCTGATAATGATAGTGATACATTAGATGATTTGGTTCTTACTCCGATACCTCCACCTAGAAGGTCGCGTCGTGCTAGGAGAGAACCAAAGTGGCTAAGGTCTGGAGATTTTGTTGTAAAAAGTGCAGTGGTTTGTGATTGGAAAGCAAAAGCAGAATTTATGGCTTCTGCAATTAAGGATGGAACTCTATCTGGATTAGAAAAAGAAGCTGGGAAAGCTTTAATAGACATTATTTTGAAATCATCTTAGATATTCAGTGAGATTATTCCATTAAGTGATTGAGATATGTGTTTTATCTTTTATATGTTTGATAGTTAATTTCATGAATTGTTAGTAAGAAGTACTGAGAGTCAGAACTTCACATGTGTATTATATATTGTATTATGTTAAAACTTGACTGCAATGACGGGGACGTCATTTCCCAATGCAGGGGAGTTTGTAGTACAGCTTGATTTTATCATTTATGTTAATAAATAGTATTTGTATATATTTGTTCATGCATTGACTTGTTGACTGACTCTGACAGAGTATATAGTATGACAGTACTTTGATTTTCTATTCACTTGGGTATTTACATCCTGGGTTTTCTATTTCTTTATTCTGATTGGTTACTCTGTGAACTCCCTTGATATTGAGGCACTCTTTTCAAATTCTACACAGAGATATAGAACACTGACACTTTATTGTGATTTATAGATATTTATTCTTCTTATTCTGGAAACTATTCTTTATATTCAGGTCAGTTATATTCTTTACATTAGTATTTGATGCATTGTATTTCTATATTTTTATCTTGGTATAAAAGATATGAATGTGTTATGAAAATGTGTATGAAAGTCCACTTTGATTCCCATGAGTATGAAAGAGTTCATATTTTTATTTATGTTGGTATTTGCAAGACAGAAAGAATATTACAGTTATTATATTATTTTTCATATTTGGCTGTTATTAGATTTCAGCATAGAATATTGTCTTGCATTGAGTTTAACTATGTTATTTACTAGTTTTGACATTAAGACTTATGAAGTCATATTTATTTATATTCAGATTCCAGTATGTGAAGTATAAGAGTATACAGTAACTTTATAGAGGAGCACTGCTCAGCCCTTGTATTATATACACGGTAAGCTGTGTTCTGTGTTTACATGTTTATTTATTTACGTGTTGTCTATTTGTACTTATGTGTTTTAATTAATGTGTGTCTTGTCTGTGTTTGTAATGTGTTATTGTTTAGTTTACGAATATCTCAGACGCGAATAGTGTATTAGAATTGATTACTTTAGATAATGATCGTTGACACAAGGTGTTATTGATATCTGTAGAATTGCATTTTGAACAGTTACTGGAAATAGACTTTGGTATAGATGCTTATGATTTGTAGTAAAACATACTTTATTAAATATGATATATTTCGAACTGAAGTTAACTACTTGGATAATTTATACTTTATTTTATTAATATGGAGATTATAATTAGAGTTATCGTTCTTTGAACGTATGTATTGTATCTTATTGTGTGTTTTATATGTTACAGGGTGTTTATTTGAGATTACTATAATAAACCAATAGAACCTTACTCAGATGTTATTTACGCCCAACTTGATGAGTCTACAGTTGCACAATTTAGTGCAGTCGACGTTAACGGAATATTCCAAATGTTTTAATTTGAACATTTTAAGAGTTTTGTATTATAATAGGAATAACAGTTATGTAGTTGAAGCGTTGCCACCGTCAAATCTCCAATTGATAGTGGCAACTCTTCAAATACAGTACTGTTATTCCTTAAATAATAGAATTGTGTAGGAAGTAAAGCTATATATATATATATATAATGTCTTTCAGATACAAGTTATTTCATTCTGTTGAGCGAAGTCTTTCGATGCAAACTTTTACAAAAACATGTAAAATTTGAATTTTGTTTTATAAAAATGCGTTCAGCAGCAACTTGTAGAGCTGAATAACATTTTGAATTTATTGAAATTTGTTGCATTGTTGAAAAAGTATATTATATCACATAGAATCTTAAATAAAGGATTTGCCTACTTTAAGATTTTTACCTGGTGAGTGAAATAAAAACAGAGGTTCTCTCTATCTCAGGAGCTATAATAATTATTTACCCCCCCCCCCCCCCCAAAAAAAACAATAACTATTGAATTGTCCGGAAAAGCGACTGAACAGTTCTAGATGAGGGGCAGCACTTAAATCATTTAAAGGATAATGCATAAAGGTGCAGTTATTGTAGAAATAACTTTGACTGCTCTCAAAGTTATTAAAAAAATATAGTAGTCCAGCAAATTAATCTAGGTTTGCAGAACAGTTCTAAGGACAGAATTGAAATCGACTTGTAGTGGTTTGCTTCATTAGACCATTTAAGACAAGTGGTTAAATATTCTTCTTGACCAATCCCGTTGACAGTCTGTATTTTGACCAGACCTTTATATTGACAGGTATGCCCATTTATATTTTGGGTGATATATCCCCTAGAATAAGTACATGTGTTTCTACAACTCTTAAATGATTTTTGTCGAGCCTTCGACTTTTGTCGAAAAAGCGAGACATAGCGATCCTACATTCCGTCGGCGTCGTCGTCGTCGTCGTCGTCGGCGGCGTCCACAAATATTCACTCTGTGGTTAAAGTTTTTGAAATTTTAATAACTTTCTTAAACTATCCTGGATTTCTACCAAACTTGGACAGAAGCTTGTTTATGATCATAAGATTATATTCAAAAGTAAATTTTGTAAAAAAAAAATTCCATTTTTTCCGTATTTTACTTATAAGTGGACTTAGTTTTTCTGCCAGGAAACATTACATTCACTCTGTGGTTAAAGTTTTTGAAATTTTAATAACTTTCTTAAACTATCCTGGATTTCTACCAAACTTGGAAAGAAGCTTGTTTATGATCATAAGATAGTATCCAGAAGTAAATTTTGTAAAAAAAAATTCCGTTTTTTCCGTATTTTACTTATAAATGGACTTAGTTTTTCTGCCAGTTAACATTACATTCACTCTGTGGTTAAAGTTTTTAAAATTTTAACAACTTTCTTAAACTATCCTGGATTTGTACCACACTTGGACAGAAGCTTGTTTATGATCAAAAGCTAGTATCTAGAAGGAAATTTTGATAAAATTTTGTTCCATTTTTTCCATATTTTACTTATAAATGGACTTAGTTTTTCTTCCAGTCAACATTACATACATTCTGCAGTTTAAGTATTCAAAACATTTATTAGATTCATAAATTATCCTGGATTTTTACCAAACTTGGACAGAAGCTACTTACAATCAAAAGATAGTATAGAGAGGAATATTTTTATTAATTTTTTTCCTCAATTTTGTTGAGCCTGCGATTAACACCAAAAGTAGGCGAGACACTGGGTTCCGCGGAACCCTTACGAATTTTTTTACTATTTGAACTGAACAGCGTAAATTTTAAAATTTCCGCGATTAACAAGTCAAATATACAAAATGTTTCAAAAATTGAATAATGACTCACTGAGAATAAATTTTTAAATTCTTGATAAAAATTAAATTGATACTCTTTTCCCAAGCGCCAATAGTGCTATCGATGCCATGATGCGGATTTTGTTTCTAATAAAATACCAAATCGTTTATTCAAAGGGAGACAACAACAAAATGTTATCAATTCCAGGTAGTTCTAGATTTTGACATTGTTGACATTAGACTTGTGTTTAGTTTATTTATTCAAGCTGATTACATTTGACAAATATTTAACAAAGGACTAAATAAAATATAGATCTGCTCAGTTAACTAAATAAAAAGGAATGTTTTCATCAGAATATTTTGAGCGAATGAGTGTTAGTCCTGGATCTGTAACTGCGACTTTACTGGTTGGGTTTGTTGTTTACATTTTAATAGTTGTACTGCGAGAAATTCTTAGACAAATCAATTTACGGAAAACATTTAGTGGCTTACCAGAACCAGGAAAAAGGCACTGGTTGTATGGTCATCTTCATTTGGTAAGTCTTGCGTACACCAAACCCCCTTTTCACCGATCACTGTCATCAGTCAAATACGCCATTTATTACATGTTAATAACGTAACATTTAGATATGGCACAAAGAAGATCAGCCAGATATGTAACAAACCGATACTGAAATAGATCATCTGTAAGCGATATGTTATAAATAACAATTAAATTAAACATCGTTAGAGAAAAGAAGAAAAAAAATCATGTCAAACCATGCTTTATAAGGAAGTAAGGGAGCTACCATTTGATTTTTATGGGGGGGCTAGGATGAAATTTGAAAAAAATAGGCAGGACAGGAGTTTTGTGTAAAAAAAAAGGCAGGATGAGACACTTTGCAAAAAAAAGGCAGGATTACAATTTATGTAAAACAAAAGTCAGGATAAACTAAAAAAAAAAAGGCAGGACCGAATAGAGTGGAAAATAAAAAGGTAGGGCAGAGATTACAAATAAAAAAAAATGCAGGACAAAATTTTTCATCCTAGCCCACCCCCCCCCCCCCATAAATATCAAATGGTAGCTCCCTAAACATCGCAGCAAACTTGTCATAAATTGATATACCACCAGACATAATCTCACGAAATATGAGCAATAACTCGTTCCAGATCCCAGTGTGTACCACCACAACAAGGAAAGAATCGTTCTACCCAAGAACCATTAGGGATTGGAATGCCTTACCCTACTCAGTGACATATCTGTCAGTAGTCTTAGATCCTTCAAGAGATTCCCGACTTAAAAATAAATCTATATAGTCACCTGTGTTATCACCCTTACTGTTAAATATATGTAAAGCAATTTTATTTTTGTTCAAAATTATTCATTCGCACACCAAAAAGTGACAGAATAGTCAACCTGATGACGTTGGTTCACTCAGCGGTAGAAGTAGAAGAAATATTTTGTACACATAGGCAGCGGGACATTGCTTTATAATGATGGTCTTCTGTGTGTTGCCCTACTAGCATAAAAGACATTTAAAGGGATCAATAAATACGTGTAAATCAAGACTTTACTGACAACATTAGACTACACCAAAAAGAATAATGATGAGAAAAATTATTGTCAGAATTTTCCATCAGTCTTTAACAAATATGAAACATATGAAGTGACCGGTCAACACAACTTTGCAATCTTTCCCTTTTGGATTATAAGACTAGATCTCAGGTGATGCACCCCCTTTTTATCACTTGAATTTTAATAGGTTCTAAAGCATTGATCCTTGCTCATATGTATCGGTCATAAGGAGAATTATTACTGATTATTTGCAGCTAGCTGTTCAAAATGACTGACCCTTGCTAACCTCTGCATTGTAGTGATGTAACGACGATCCCTGTGTCTCCGTTTTTGTCGAGCCTGCGACTTTTGTCGCAGAAAGCTCGACATAGGGATAGTGATCCGGCGGCGGCGGCGGCTACGGCGGCGGCGGCGGCGGCGGCGGCGTTAGCTAACTTCTTAAAAGCTTTATATTTTAGAAGGTGGAAGACCTGGATGCTTCATACTTTGTATATGGATGCCTCATGTTACGAAGTTTCCGTCAGTCACATGTCCAATGTCCTTGACCTCATTTTCATGGTTCAGTGACTACTTGAAAAAAAAGTTAAGATTTTTTGTAATGTTAAATTCTCTCTTATTATAAGTAATAGGATAACTATATTTGGTATGTGCGTACCTTGCAAGGTCCTCATGCCTGTCAGACAGTTTTCACTTGACCTCGACCTCATTTCATGGATCAGTGAACAAGGTTAAGTTTTGGTGGTCAAGTCCATATCTCAGATACTATAAGCAATAGGTCTAGTATATTCGGTGTATGGAAGGACTGTAAGGTGTACATGTCCAACTGGCAGGTGTCATCTGACCTTGACCTCATTTTCATGGTTCAGTGGTTATAGTTAAGTTTTTGTGTTTTGGTCTGTTTTTCTTATACTGTATGCAATAGGTCAACTATATTTGGTGTATGGAATGATTGTAAGGTGTACATGTCTAGCTGGCAGGTGTCATCTGAACTTGACCTCATTTTCATGGTTCAGTGGTTATAGTTAAGTTTTTGTGTTTTGGTCCGTTTTTCTTATACTTTATGCAATAGGTCTACTATATTTGGTGTATGGAATGATTGTAAGGTGTACATGTCCAACTGGCAGGTGTCATCTGACTTTGACCTCATTTTCATGGTTCAGTGGTCAAAGTTAAGTTTTTGAGTTTTGGTCTTTTTTCTTATACTATATGCAATAAGTCAACTATATTTGGTGTATGGAAATATTCTATGATGTACATGTCAGTCTTGCAGGTTTTATTTGACCTTGACCTCATTTTCACGGTTCATTGCTCAGTGTTAAGTTTATGTGTTTCAGTCTGTTTTTCTTATTAAACTATAAGCAATAGGTCAGCTATATTTGTTGTATGGAAGGATTGTAAGCTGTTCATGTCTGCCTGGCATGGTTCATCTGACCTTGACCTCATTTTCACGATTCATTGGTCAGTGTTTAGTTTTCTTGGTTTAGTCTGTTTCTTAGAAACTATAAGCAATAGGTCAACTATATTTAGTGTATTGAATGATTGTAAGGTGTACATGTATTTCTCGTTTGGTTTATATGACCTTGACTTCATTTTCTTGGATCATGTTAAGTTTATGTAATAGTTGTAGTAAAGCTTTCATTTAGGACTATCAACATAATATCAATGGTTAGTAAAGAAGGCGAGACATTTCAGCGTGTGCACTCTTGTTATTCTTTCTAATGATGATACTTGACTATAGTCCATATTTTAAATCATTCCTTTGGTGGACCCTGCACTCCGACAACTGAACCAGCATGTTCGACTGCTTTGACCACGAAGAAGACTGTGACTTGAATACTATCCAATGTATTATCCACCTTGGCAGAAATCCAGTCCAAAATATAATATATATATATTATTGGAAAATGTTGTTTGTGCTGTATTTAGACCTCTCTACCAAGAAATTATAAAAATTGCGGTTTTTATCCAACGCAATCATATGTTTGAACGTTGTTTTCAATTTAGACTTGTTTATATATATTTATATATATATATTAAGTACGTCTGAACCAGTGACAACTCTACAACAGATTTATCCATCGGATCACCAGCAGTGATGGTGATACATGGCTGTGTACATTCTGTATATACAACTCGTCTAAACATCAGCCCAACAATGTTAGATCTGTAAATTTGCTTTCGCAAATTTTTTGTTCTTCCCTCACCTGGATTCGAACTCATGCTACTGAGATATCGTGACACGATATCTCAGTAGCATGAGTTACGATATCTCAGTAGCATGAGTTCGAATCCCGGCGAGGGAAGAACAAAAAATTTGCGAAAGCAAATTTACAGATCTAACATTGTTGTCACGATATCTCAGTAGCATGAGTTCGAATCCCGGCGAGGGAAGAACAAAAAATTTGCGAAAGCAAATTTACAGATCTAACATTGTTGGGCTGATGTTTAGACGAATTATATATATATATATATATATATATATATATATATATATATATATAAATTGCGGTTTTTATCCAACGCAATCATAGGTTTGAACGTTGTTTTCAATTTAGACTTGTTTATATTTTTTCGTTTGGGCTTGTATTATATTTGCCTTTGGGTTTATATGATCCGTTCATCCTATTTTGACTCCTCAAAATTCAAGAGTCTATCCTAAATTGAGGTAAATTGTATGGCTTTCCAAATACCGTTTCGATTCCTAACATCACTGAAGAGACATTAATTGCCGAAATCCGGATATGGTGTAGAAAAACCTTTGCACCTTTTGTTTGCGGTATACCATCTTTTCTGCAAGTTTATTGTTTTCTGTTTAGTATTAAATTTATAATTAAGATCCATTTGTTACATCGGTGATCCGTTTATTTGGCAATCGCCAATGGCAGTCAGCAGGGTTTAAAACATTTGTTGTTCGACCTGTTAGTCAAATGCGTTTTGTTAAAATATACTTTTTCACTTTTTTGTTCCTTTGGAAAATGTTGTTTGTGCTGTATTCAGACCCCTCTAACAAGAAATTTGTTTTGCATGCACACGTATAAAAATTGCGGTTTTTATCTAACGCAATCATAGGTTTGAACGTTGTTTTCAATTTAGACTTGTTTATATTTTTTCGTTTGAGCTTGTATTTTATTTGCCTTCGGGTTTAAATGATCCGTTCATCCTATTTTGACTCCTCAAAATTCAAGAGTCTATCCTAAATTGAGGTAAATTGTATGGCTTTCCAAATACCGTTTCGATTCCTAACATCACTGAAGAGACATTAATTGCCGAAATCCGGATATGGTGTACAAAAACCTTTGTACCTTTTGTTTGCAGTATACCATCTTTTCCGCAAGTTTATTGTTTTCTGTTTAGTATTAAATTTATAATTAAGATCCATTTATTACATCGGTGATCCGTTTATTTGGCAATCGCCAATGGCAGTTAGCAGGGTTTAAGAACATTTGATGTTCGACCTGTTAGTCAAATGCGTTTTGTTAAAATATCCTTTTTCACTTTCTCGGTCTTTTGGAAAATGTTGTTTGTGCTGTATTTAGACCCCTCTACCAAGAAATTTGTTTTGCATGCACACGTATAAAAATTGCGGTTTTTATCCAACGCAATCAAAGGTTTGAACGTTGTTTTCAATTTAGACTTGTATATATATATATATATACGGATTCGACCCCAGTACAACCTGGGACTATTATACTAACATATATTAAACAACAATTTTCAATTAAAACACATATAAAATATGAGCAATATAGAACATCGTTAAAATTCAAATGTGCGTTGTATCTGGGACTAGTATAATAGTCCCAGATACGATGTTCTATATTGCTCATATTTTATATGTGTTTTAATTGTAAATTGTTGTTTATACATATTTCATAATATAATTTGTAATCACGTGTACAGTGAAGTTTATGTATCTAGTCTAACAAGGACCTATAATTAGTCTAATCATAAATCTCATTGCTATATATATTCTTTTTATTG